TATTGCGATATGGAGTCATAAAACCACGAGTATTGGCATAAGCAGCATCACAGAGATAATATTTATCTACAATCGAAATTTGAGTTAATATAAAATGTATAAGAAATGGTAAAGTTGAGTAAAAATTTTACATACCTCGTGGAGGAAATGGAAAGCCAGAAGTTGGACTAAAAGCAACTTCTCTCAACACTCTAGCATCRTGTGCTATACCCTCCCATCCAGCCCAAACAAATGTGAAAAGCATATTAAAGTCACAAATACCTAAAACGTTTTGGTAACATTCACCTCTTCCTCTACCTCTATAACGAGCTTGTTRATCAACAGGTACGACTGCATGTACGARAGTTCCATCTAATGCACCCATTGCCCCCTTTATTTAGAAATACAAATTAATTGACAATATAACAGGCTTGTTAAAGCATATTAAAGCATATAATAGAAAACATACCGGAAATATTTGTCTGAGGTTTCTTTGACGTTCTGATGTGTTTTGCGTTTCCTCAAAGGATGTCGGCCGTATAACTTCTTTTGCAAATTTCATCATTGCTCGTAGCACTTCACGAAAGTGTCTATGAATAGTCTCCGTAGAGTGTTGAAATCTCCGTTTAACCATTCTAAAGCGTTCATTATGGCCAATAATTGTCAAAAATATAGCCATCTTCTCCTCGACGGTGACATTCCTACTATCTTGCAACCAATTTTTTTGTTTAAAATGGTTRCATAAAAGTATATACGCGTCCCGAGAAAGCCGCATCAATTCATAGCATTGTGTATTCGAACCGCCTAACAATTCTAGCGTATAKKCRTGACCGGTTAAGGCGGAAGTGTTATCTCTTATTCGTTGTATTCTTGATGATAATTTGTATTTCCAATACCAATAAATGATCATAACTAGCAAAAGTTCTTCCTCAAAATCCATGTATTACCTTGAAAGCAAAACATATATTGCAAAATGATGAGAAACACAAATATCAAATATAAACATAAACGTACCATTCATAAGCATACCATTCATACATAACATGTTCCAAAAGATATGTTCGAATCAATAACACCAAGTTTAATCGAAACACATATCATCCCAAAAGCAAAGTGTAACCAAACCTACCAACTAAAGTAGTCCATACTTAYGTGCCGTAAGTCTAATCCAATTTTCACAATTCACCGGTTCTAACCGCATCCACATTTTCCTATAGTCGGCGCTTTCACCTAAAACAAATAGTGCTACATCATGCAATGGTGCACCCCATCCAAGTCCCTCTAACTTCTTCAAGCAATCATCAAGATCATCTTTTGGTGCTCCATGCTTCTCTAGCATAACATTCATAACCTTCAAAATAGTTTCTTCAAKTTCCACTTTTTTAGAAGCACATATTTCTTTAGCTTTAGCTTTTCGTTTTTTGCTTTGTACCGGAGGGCGAGAAGAACACTCTTGAGTTGAGGTCGGCCCCCTGGTTTCTTGAGTTGAGGGTAGTCCCCCGGTTTCTTGTGTGTCAGGTAGATCTTCATTCAAGTTGGGATCAGAGTCATAAGGATCAGGTATTGTAGATGCAGTTCCATAACTCTCTAGCCCAATACTGGCAACCCCATCAAATAGTTGCACACAGAGTTCAGGATAAAGCAGTCCGGTACTCCTCAATGGTTCCATGTATTTACTTTGCTGTTTTAAAAAAATTATATCCATATAAATAAATATATTATAAAAATATAATTATGTAAAGAATAAGAAAGAAAGTGACCGAAATTTCTATCTTCCATTCCTCATCGGATAGATTGAAGGTGTTGGTTGATGGATCGTAGACATTGCCCGTTTTGTTTTTCAGTTTAGACCAAGCTGCGTATTTTCCCTTAAGATAATYGTAGTGATTTTTCATTTGTCGTTGATCCACGTCAATGTTATGTTTTCTTTTCAACTCTTCTCCAACAATCTTCCACGATTGTGACTTAAGACTACTACCTTCTCGTCCATTTTTAATTGTCTMGTGTATACAAGCTTCGAGAAATGTTTGGACCAATCCATCCTTTTTCCAGGTAATCCTACGTTTCTTTTGGTGCGAAGATTCACCAACTAATTCCATACCTAGTCCAAACAATTTTATAAAGTACAAAGTAATAAGAAAAAGTGATCATGTCAATCTTCAAAAAACCCCATCTAAATAGTTGCATCTAAACAAAAGATCTATAGCAATCTATAAGAAAAAGTGATGATAGCAATCTATAAGAAAAAGTGATAATAGCAATCTTCAAAAAACCCCATCTATAAATAGTTGCATCTAAACAGAAGATCTATCAAGGGGGAACATAGGTTTTCTTTTTCTTATATATTGTATGTAGAGATGTAATCAGAGTGGAAGCATTTGTAGCAGAATTCGATGACAAGCAGTAGATGAGAACCTTTTTCTTTGAACCTTTTTTAAGTAATATGTAAATGAGAACCTTTCTTAGGGAAAAATGAGTTTCAATTGACAATAACCAATTGACTTTGAACCTGCAAAACCTAACAATTGAGGTTCCAAAACACTTTAAACTTGCAAACAACTTGATAACACAGCCCTAACAACAAACAATTGACTTTGAACCTGCAAAACCTACTTAAACAACCAAGATTGAGTGACCCTTTGATCCCAACAAATTTGAAGAAAAAATAAGGTCATTCAACACTATTCTAAACAAATCCGAGTTCTGCTAGGCATTTTATCAAACAGTGAGAGCATAGCATACGATTATTCTTTTTGCATAAAAGGCAACAATAGTGTACATACTACATACCATGAATCGCTAAAAGTTGTACACCACAATAATGTAAAGGAAACCGGTTCTAATCGAGGTGGAAAGTCGCTCACTGCAGAGGGAGCGATTAAAACAGCAGCGATTAAAGAGGAACAGCAGAGGGAGCGATTAAAGAGGAAGCGATTAAAGAGGAACAGCAGAGGGAGAACTTACAGCAGAGCGATTAGTGATGAAGAAAGGTGAGGGGAGATCGACAATGAGAAGATGGAGAAGATGCTCCGGCTTCTGCGATGACAATGGTGAAGGAGACGAGACTGCAGCGGTAAAGGGTATGGAAGGGTAAATAGGGAAGAATCGGTAATCTGAATCGTTGAGCGGTACCCTAGATGCAAAATGGTTAAGAGGGGGATTGTAACCATTAAGAGGTATTTTTTTTTTTGCCAAACAACTTCAACCTCTGACCGATTAAGAGGTTGGCTCTTAATGTAACCATTAAGAGCCAAACAAACAGCCCCTAAGACGGAATCTTCACCCTTGGATCAACTCTAATTGAATGCTTCCACTAAATCAACACTAATAAGAAACACCATATTAGTTACCTTCTAAAAGCTCAATTCATGGGTTTGTTTGAGATTAAAAATGATCATGGTTCAAATCTCTTCTTACACTTCTCATTTTAACTCATATTCTCACACAATACCGAATTGTTTCAATAGATCAATAGCAGATACATTAAGAGGTGAATTTTGTTTGGAAAAAAAAAATCTGTCTATTAATGGTTTTAAAACACACTTAATGATTTTGTATCATGGTCCTTTCTTAACCATTCAACGCCCTAATTTCATTGTAAACAATTACCGAACAATTATATTTTATTTTGCACTATATCATGAGAGTCTCTTAATCATTCTGATGACTTAATCATTTTGCACCAAACTATTTAGCAACTGTCAAACAACCCGTAAATGGTTTAAAGTAAAAGGATATCTATCCTTCGTCTTCTCACAATCTTTCAGTCTACCAAAACAACTAAAATACAACATATCAAGATGTTGTAGTGCCCCAATCATTTGGACATCTCTTAATACATACAAACCAAACGATTGAGATAACTATGAAAATGAATGAGAATTCATTTGTTATGATTGAGATATATATAAAAGATGATCACATGTTCAATATTTTAAATTATGAAATAATTAAGATATTTATAAAACCAGATATTCAATTAGTTTAGACGAACAAATTTATATGATCAGATATATACAACTCAGACATCCCAAGAGACCAATAGATTTGATCAAAAGTTAATGTATTTATTGGTGCACTATGAATACATTTATCAAGAACCATGAGTACAAATGAATCATGAACATTTGTTCACTCATAAAGAGTCTTTTCAAACATGAATTGACATAAGCATGTTCAAAAAAGCTTGTCGATATAACACTTATATGAATTTAAAAATGTGTTCATGGGTGAACAAGTTGAATCTCATATCATTAAAATCTTTTCCTCCGTGTACAATTAATTAAATTTCATATCATGAATGATCTCAACCATAAATTTCAAAAAGGATCAATGGATGAGATGAGTTAACAAAGTTAACACCATATATTGGGTTAACAAATGAACTTACCCCAACGTATATGTATATATATATACACACACACTTGGGATCATGTAAGACCAACCTGTTTTCATAAGACCCGTGAGATCACATTTTTACACTTGAAACTTCACAGTGTTTTTGCTGTAAAGGTTCAGATTTTTTTTACCTTCACAATGTTTTGTTATAAAGTTTCAAGTGTAAAAAAATGGTCTCATGAAAAACAATATGATCTCGTAAAATGAAGGTGTTCTCAATAACAGAAAAGAAAAATGTGATATGTTTCGACTGTGTACAACCAAGAAACGAATAATGTTACATGTGTGAGCCTGCTAACATAAGAATCACAAATCTCCCTTCTTCCTTATCATAAATTAATTCCTAAGAATCGCTCACACCCAAGATTGTTTTCACTGTGGCCGTTAGATCTACTAACCGAATCTATTGAAAGATGTTCGTTCGTATAACTTATCTGAACCCACAAAATTTCTGGGGGAAACAGACTTTTTAACTACATAATACAATTCTAATCTGATTTTATAAGCAGGATTAAAGATCTTCATAGGCCATAGAAATGAAATTTTGAAGCTCACCCGTCTTCCCATATATACTCGGCTCCGAACCAATCGCAAAAGTTGCATCGTATAACTTCGACCAATTACCTTTTGCTATTCACTTCCACTGCTGTATCGCCCGTCTGCCAATGTTATAACATCAATAACGTATCACGAATTGCAAAAAGAAAACTTAAAGTTAAATCAAACCCAGTAAAAGTAGGGTCTGGGTAGTATGTACGACAGATTGTTCCTCTGCCCCAAAGGGTAGAGCTACAGAGATATTGTTTCCATGAAGACCCCAGCTTGCAAAACAAAAACAAAAAAAAAGAAAGAAAATATCATACTTCGAGAATGGTTTTTCCCTTCCATGGCTTCTCTCTTTTCTTGGCAGCTTACACAAAGGAACGGACCATCCCACGGTCTTGAATTCCGTCCACTAGATGATCCTGCGTGTACTGAAATACCCTCCCCGGGCTTCATTTCGACTTGACACACAGCACATGTAAACAACTTGAACATGTTACAAAGCGGGTATTTCGTATCTAACCTGCCACCAGATATTAAAGATATCAGCAGTTACTACCACCATACTTAATGAAAAAGAAGTTAAAAAAACATTCTGTGGATGGTTAGCAAACCAAACCAAACAGTCACGGTATATCCTACCAAAAGGTGGGGTCTGGGGTGGGATGTATGCAAACCTGACCTCTACCTCAAATAGTAGATCGATTTTTTTATGAAACCTAATTTTCGATCCCATGCAGATTCACAAAAAATTCAAATATCAGAAGTACCAAACTCAGAAATTTAAGATCTAGCACTGTACAACCTTTCAGAAAGCAGAGCAGATCCTTCCTCTACCATCTCCTCCACCACGTCTGGCTCGAGATATTCGTCATCCATATTAGATGTTGACCCTGAACTCTTTTTCTTAAAAATAAACTTGACTTTGAATACTCCTTTAGTCATCTTCTTTGGTTGCGGCACAGGAGGATTTGTCTTGTCTGTAGGCAGAATATCAACGACCATGCAGGTTGTATCATCCCGCAATCCTTTTGGTTGTACAGCTTCCTGTAAATGGAACTGAATGAATAAAAACTAGATGTTCAAAGGAAACTGAAACACTAACTAAAAGATATATGTATCCCTTACTTTAACAACTTGTGCAGCTGCTGCATCTGGCGGCATTCCACGACAGCAATCTAGTGCCGCTTCTGCAGATAACGCATCCCAGACACCATCACTTGCAATGATAAGCCTTCCGCCAGCAGAGGATAGCTGCAGGTTACAAATCTTAGCAAATCATGCCATTGCATTCTATTACCAGAACATGATTTAGGGTTTAGGGGTTTACAACTGCATGATTCGATATGCTTTATAGGAGATAAAAGTGGAAGTTGCAATATGATGATAGTAGGGCACCAACAGGAATAACTGACCTTAACTTGCTTAACATATGGAACAGGAACTATGAACTCCCCAACATCTAGATCTCCGATAGATCGTGAAAGACACAAGCCACCGGGCCAACATCTTAGAGGACCAATCTGCCAAGACATAACCAGAAGGGTAAAACCTCAATTCTATACATGCGTAAATCATACAGGTTATTCTTTGAACAACCAACATTAGGATAAAATAATAAATAAATGAACAAAGCAACTTCAAAAGATTTATGATAGGTTTACTCTTGATTGTGTTTTTTTCTTTTAGCAAACCACTCTTTCGTATGAATAAGATGGATTCACTAAACTATTTGGATGAGATGGCAGCATATCACGGTCGAAGTCCTGAAGCGCTAGGTCTAGGGCAGTTCCACCTCTTTATAGTTTACAAGAGGGTTTTATCGAAAACGTGAGAAAACATCGAGAAAACAACAAATATTTTTTGGTTTTAACCCTATGACATAGAAGTTGGGTTTCATCAAGGCTACCCCAAGGATTGGCCTAGTTGTGATTCACTACAACTTGGGCTTGGTGTCTCATGAAGAATTAGGTTTTGGGTTTGAATCACACTAGATGCTATCAACTCCTTATGGGACATGTCTAAGGTCATGTGGAGAGCGTTTCACATGGACCCCACAGACTGGTTAAGCCAATGATGATTGATGACAGATGCTCTGGTTATTCAAAAAAGAAACTAGTTACTGGATTACAAGTGTGGCGTTGTTCTACATATGGTTACTGCCAGCATCCCCTCCATTATCTTATCTCAAGAGGAACGTAAAGCTCAATGGTGCACCTTGGGAATTAGACTGGGATCAACATGAAATCATCAAATAGATAATTGCTTATAAATATCTACAACTGCATTCATTGTCTAATCTTTTAAGATCCAAATGTCATGGACACCATCAGTGGAGAAGTAGAGTCCCAGAAAAGCATAAACAGCATCATGAAGAACTTAAAAGTCCAAGAACTAGAAAAAGGCTAATCACTTAGGTGCAGGAAAATTCTGGGGATCTAGGAAACGATGGATTAAGCATCAAGTAGAATACGAGATTATCGTATGGTTTCATCGGAAGGATCTACTTTGATTCCTGCATTAACTCTTTATAGTCATAGCAGAAGTAGTGTTCTTTCAGATTACGGTTAGTAGGTTGAGACATAAAACATAGAAAGGGTTGGCATTTGATATAATAACTAAATGGGTTCATGTTAAGTTCAAGCTTGACAAATCTGCAGCAGTCCATGAAGTGGCTGGGAAGCTTCAGGGCTTCAATATCCTCTTGTAACCCCCTTAGCACACTGGTCTTAAAAACTAGTGGAGTGCGAAGACTTGAATATGCTTCCTTTTGCAGTCAACAAGAGGCCATATGCTAGGCTTTCGCCATGATCTTGTCCCACATTAGTCACTTAATATGCTTTAATGTGTTTCCCTTCATGTACCAAGAAGATTCTTCTTTTTGTTTCTGTAATTGCTTGAGAGCTGCTCATTTATCTGAATTGATAAGATTAGAAAATTGATTTACGCTTTCACATAGCTTATATAAGGAATTCTATTAAATATTTTAATGGTAACATAGCTCTCTTTAGCTTTAGGTATAATAGGATGGTGTCAAATCACGAGAGTGATTTTGGACCAACCTTGGTTTAAAAATGCGCGCATTATGCGCTCTGATGCGCGATGCGCTCTGATGCGCTGGACAGAACGCATCAAAGAGGCTGATGCAATGCGATTCCATGATGCAAACGCATCACCTACGCATCACACGATGCGTGCATCACTTAGGCATCAGCGCATCATGTATGTTGCGTTTTGGGCTCCCTTTTTCAGTGTTCACTTGGGCTTTTTAGTTGGGCTTTTTTAGTTGGGCTTCTTAGTTATGTAAAATAGAACCTGGGTGACTGTTAGCGATAGAACGTGGACTGACTGTTAGCGATTAGCGAGTAGCGAAGCGACCTAATCGATAGAACTTAGAAGCCGACAGCAGTACTGCAGTAGTCGATACTCGATAGTCAATACCAACGGTCCTCGATAGTCATACCAGCAGCAGCAGCGATACTCGATAGTCATACCAGCAGCAGCAGCGATACTCGATAGTCATACCAGCAGCAGCAGCAGCAGTAGTCGATAGTCATACCAGCAGCAGCAGCAGTAGTCTGTAATTGTGTAATTGGAGATGAACCCGTGTTGGGGTTTGATGATGCTGATCTTGGGGAGTATTAGTTGGTCACTTGGTTGGTCACTTGGTTGGTCATTTAGTTTAGGGATTAGGACTATTAGACATTTACTTGTGTAATTGTGTTCTTCATGGTAGTAGTTTGTGTGTTATGTACTTCTGTTATTCTGATTCACGAACTTTTTAAGATTCTAATGCCACTTTTTTAACTACTTTATGTTATAAATGAAGTATTTTGATAGGCAAGTATTTTTAAGGTAGAAATTGATATGTAGAATTAATTTATAAATATTTTTTGAATACCGGGCGCATCACGTGCGTGATGCGAGCGCATCAGCATCACGCATCACGCATCGGCTTCCGGGACCCTTAATGCATCGGACCGCATCGCGCTTTTTAAAACCAAGGGACCAACATGTTTAACGACAATTCATGGAAATAACTGCTCTACTCTTTAGAGTAGAGGTCAAGTCTATGTACATCTTACCCTCACCATACCCTACACTCAAGTGGGAATTACTGGGTCAGTTTGGTTTGGTTTGGTTTGTGTTTGATGACAATATGCATATGCTTTTATTTCATTCATAGGTTAATCAGACCAACAATAAAGAAAGGTAGAGCTACATGTAGTCGCGTTGCAGTTTTCTATAAGTGTACATGAAGATCAATAAAGGTACCAAATGTCACAAAGTTAGGCTGCAATAAATAACATAAAGCACATAAACAGTGACATTAGGGAGATTTGTGAGGAAATCATAACGACATACCTGCGTGCCACCTCCAGTATTTAGCCGACCAACCTCGCCACCGCTTGCAGTGACACGCTCCGTCCTGCCAAATAGAAAGAAAAAGAATAAGAATCATAATATTTTGAAAGTAAACACCATGTTCGAAAAATTGATATACCATAAATACATAGAAGATTATATTGCACCCAACATCAACTCGAAGGCAATGAATGCGATAAGAAAAATGGTAACTTACTCCTCCTCATTGTCCTCAAATCTGTGATCTGCTGATAGATAATGTAAGCTCCCATCCACAGATTCAAGTATACAGCGAGAATCACCAACTGATGCTACAGTTACGACGAATCCTTCAATAATTACAAACGTGACAGTTGTTCCTGACAGTTGACCTGCAATCATGACAACGAGCGAGAACCACAAATGCATATTAGAAAACATGAGCACACATCATATGCATAAATTTATGAGCGGAAAGATAAAATGTTCAAAAAAACAAATAAGAAAATTGGGTCACATTTATCGTGTGCAGGAATAACAATAACTATGAGAACAATATGAATTACAAAATCACTCTCCAGTCTTACATACATATTTAGTGATGTACATTCACTTGCTCTATTCTCCAAGACTACTTCAACTTACTCTGGACATCTCTCACTCGATGTTATCTCCTCAAGCACATTGGGGAAAAGGGACATGAGCTCAACACAGTCAAGCTCAAGGGATTAACCTACCTGAAACAGGGTGAACCAGGATATAATTATCCAGGAACAGATCTAAAAGAAAGATGAGGTATATAGAGTTGTGGATGCTTAGGAACAGAAATATACCAGCACAAATGAAAAGAGGGTTAAATTTGTAACTTATGATTGTGATTAATAGGGTTCATTTTGCATCTTCATAACTTGATACGTAGGATTTGGAGCCGTTTATTTGTACAAGGGGGTTACACACCAGATAAGAAGAGTGTGTAAATTATCTAAGTAAGTGAAATACGTAGGATTCAGAGCCGTTTATTTGTAAAAGGGAGTTACACACCAAATAAGAAGAATGTGTAAATTATCTAAGTACGTGCCAAAATACACTTGCATAGCTAGCATGAATGATGAACATTTGTACTTCAGCCACTAATAGAAAATCAGTTAATGCTGCGGATTCATCTAACAGCAGTTAATTAGTTCCCACGATCCAGTATGTTCTTCAAAAGGATTTTCTTAAGTACTAGATATTAAAATACTTCAGTACTAGATTTTCTTAACGACTACTAAATATCTAAAAACCACGATGAACCTACCTAAAATACTTCAGGTCTCAACTTACACTAAACGCAATACTATCTAGTTAAAGCCATCCTGTGTATGCGTCTTCAGACAGAAGCAAAACCAAATACCTTTTTCTTGAAAATCTTTATCTGTTTTCACAAACCCGGCCACCAAAGCCCTAGGCAACACTGCGATCCACTCATCTCGGTTAAGGTCTGGAGGAATAGCACCCAGAACATTGTTTAAAAGGTTCTCTTTGGTATATATAGCTGCTGCAGATCCATTGTGGCCATCAAGTACCTGCAAAGAGAAGTTCGGTAAGATCAGTATACTAAAACAGAATTGAAGGTCACTGGTTACATATTTCTAAAAACCATCATCTACTTCTCCATCTTTCTCGCCTTCTCAATTCAGATGTAATCGCCAGAAGCAAATTGTTACAAATACAAAAAGTTAGTGCACTCATCATTCATTGATGTCATCAAAGACGCCATTAAAACATTCAAGGAGAAACAGCTGAGCTGACATCACATACCCCAAAAACAGAATACGTAGTAACACCATCTCCTAACACGCGTTGGCATTCGCTTTTGATCAACGTAAAGTCTTCCCCTTTCTTGGATTGGTTGGCTTGACCACTAATAATTTCCGGCCTCTCGATCTTCTCATTCGCCACTTCACGCTTCAACAACACCGATAATGGGACCGTTTGATGCTCACCTTTATTGGAGGACATTTCCTCGGTCCCTTCGAAAATCCAGATTTATATATAATATCCTCTTTCAACTCTACCCTAACAATAATCCGTCAAGCTCTCCACCTGCTCCAATTCCTTTATAATATTTTCTACAAAATCCTACAAAATACACAACAATCAAACATCATGAAGAATGAAGAGATCCATTATATCACCAAAAAACAAAACTATTAAATCAACCATCATATTCAAAATCGACAAACTGTAAACATCATAATTCACAACTTTCAATAAATCAAACACGAAAAAGACACAGATTGTTGCACTATAACCTGATTAACGAACAATGCAGATAATAAAATACAAAAAAACAACAAATCATACGAAATGTATTTCGAGAAACTTGAGAAAAACAAAAATCACATACAGAAATCCCTTGTTGACGACGAAACTCCAATTGCAGGTTCGATTGATTGTTGCCGACAAAAACAAACCGAATTTTGTTGAAAGAATCAAAATAATTTGAAGGTGATTAGATTCGCAGCAAAAATTCCGCGAGAGAGAAAAGGGCTGCAAATGGATTTGTGTTCGTCTCTTTGCTTTCGTTTTATTTTTCCTTTTAAACTTTCGGTGTTATTTTCGCATCATGTGCAAACGCACCCTTTTCGGTTCCGAAAGCCGGCTTGGGGCTGAGCTGAGCTGGACTGCGTCGTCTGTGAGTTGTTTTTTCTCCTTTTAGATGCAATTTCTTTTTACTACTTTGAGTTTTGTTTCGTAGATCATTTTCTAAAACCCTTGAAAATAGAAAAAATAGAGATCATGAATCAATTTTATATTTTAATAGATTTTTTTTATTAACCTAGATATCCAACTCGTTATGCGAGCCAACTAATCTCAACACGACTATTTACTTTGCAGATAGTTCGGAGTCACCGCATTTAAACCTCCGTAGCTACAAGGGGATTTTTATTCCTCATTCGATTTGAATATGAGACCTCCAGGTACTTTTGATCTTTGGAGTCAAATTCAAACCAATCAAACATCATCTTTGTAGTTTATTTTAATGATTTTTAAAACCATATTTAAAATAAAGAAAGTAGGAAAAAGAGTGGTTTTTTTTAACGTTGTGTTCTCCAAATATTTTAAAAAGGGAAAGAGGAGGAAAGTAAAAAAAACTCGTATTTTCAAAACTTTCTTAAAATAAATGAAAGGAAGTGGAGGGAAAAGAATCATAAGTTTTCTCCAAAAACTTTCCTTTTAGATGTGATTGGAAAGGGAAGGAAAAGAAGTGAACTGATTAAAACGCTTTGAGATATTTATAAAATTACAAAACTACCCAACTTTTGATAATAAAAAACATACTTTAAAAGGATATATTTGTAAAAGAAACACATTTGTTTCTTTTTTTCCCCTGTTCAAGAACATGAAGATTTATTTTTTTTCTTTTCTTTTCCTTCTTTTTTTCTTCTCTTTCGAGAACACAATAAAAAAAACTATTTTCAACCACAAGGATGGCGCCTGATTGGTTTGAGTTTGGCTCCAAAGGTCAAAAGTATCAGGATGTCTCAGGTTCAAATCCAAGGAGTAATAAAAATCCACTTGTGGCCACGGAGGTTCAAATATGGTGACTCCGGGCTATCTGCAAAGCAGGTGGTCGCTCTGGGATTAATCGACTCGTATAGCGGGTTGGATATCCAGGTTAATAAAAAAAACTATTTTTGTTTTTTCCCCCTCATTTTCTTTTCTCTCTAAATTCGAGAACACGACGTAAATATGAATAACACCCAAAAATGATTATCACTTCAGAGAAATAATTTTTTTATATATATTTTCATCAATAAGAAACTTTGAAAATAAATATTTAAAGCATCTGTAACAGATTCTCTAATATAGATAATCAAAAGTTAAAGTGTCCAATAAAAGTTTATATTCATCTCAAAGAATTTTTCCATTTTAGAGATTATAATGTTATTTATATTATTAAAATATTTAATAGAATTAATAAAATATTGTTTCTCTTTTCTAAACACTTAATTTCAAGGATTTTCATTGATAGAAAAAATAAAAAATATATTTCTCTTTTTTATATAATTATTGCAAATCTAGAGATTTTCATCATCTCTCTCGTACTTTTTCCATTTTGGAAAAGTTTATGGAGAATTTATTGAAATAAAAAATCCAAAATCTTCGTTTTAAAGAATATGTTGGATATGCTCTTAGAGAAATAATATTTTAAAACATCTTCAAAAAATTACCAAAATTTCTTCAAAATAGGAATTTTATTCTGTATTTGATTATTTTCATCTACAATTAGTTACACAAATTCAAACATGGAGCTTAATAAGTTGTATTTATGCATAATTTACTTGTAATATTGAATTTTAAGTAATATGCATTAATAAACAATACTTTGTGTATAACCATTTTAAAGTTTTTGTCAAATACTTTATAATATAATATAGATTATTAGGAATTAATATAGTAAACAATTAAAAAATTTCCTACATTGTAAATTTGATAGAAATCCTGTAATAAACTTTTTAAAACCATTAATAAACGTATCTAAAAATGAATTTTATTATAAAAGATGTATATTAGTTGGTGATTTTAAATAAATGTTGCATATAATATAAATAAAAATATTTATTAATTAATAAATTCTTTAGCAAAATAAAAATAAAATAAATTTTTATATTTATTAAAACCGTTTATTTGAATTTTTATAATGTTTTTAATTTATGAAACATATAAAATATAAATTTAATATTTATAGAAGTTACAAAAACATTTTTATAATTGTTATATTTGATGTCTGACAAATGAGTGAGGTAACTTTGTCCACAAAGAAGACAAGTTTCGGGTTCGATCTCGGAACCGGCTAACCTCCGCTGTTGAGCAAGTCAAAAAAATATTTCTCATATTGATATCCTTGGCGGCAGGTTTTATGTAGGACCAATTAGAGTTGCCGATAATCCACTTTTTGCCTAACGCGCTTCATTTTTAACAACTTTTGACTGACTAAATCTACTGAATAATAATAACATAAAAATGATTAATATAAAAAATAGTAATTCAAAATAATTTATAACTAATATTTATTTATAATTTATAATAAATATTAACTATTAATATTTAAGGGTAAAATCAGAAAAAGAAAAAAAGGGAAAAAAACAACAGAGTTTATTAAAACAGTATTCGAGTAGCGTCTCCGTAAACCTTCATTAAGCTAAATAATAACAAATCAAATAAAACTTTTTCAATAAATTAAAAAAATATTTATAAATTTCAGATTTTCTTTTTTTAATAATAAAACATATTATTTTTTATTTTCGTCATTAATTATTTTACATCGTGATTTGATATCTAATTAATATTATAATCTTTAAATCGAAAAAATAATTTTTATTTTAACATGTTTTTTTTTTCGGAATTCTAAAGTATACAATTTTATTTTAAATTTTAAGTCAACTTTTTATATTTTTTTAAATAGAATTTATTTATTCATAAATTCGTCAATTTTCCAACAACTTGTTTTATTTGACCGACTATTTGTATATTTTATACCTAAGTTTCTCATGTGACTTAAAATAAAACAAAATATATAATAAATTCTTAAATATATAAAAATAAACTGCAACAAACAAAATATATAATAAATTCTTAAATATATAAAAATAAACTGCAACAAACAAAATATATATATATATATATATATATGTATATATATAATATTATTTGAAAAATGCATAGAATTTTATATATTAATTTGACTAATTATTAATGATGATCCATAGCACATAATTAATTAATTAACAACCATCAGGCCGTATGTCATCAACTCATCATAATCAGGTCGTAAATCTGTTTCTTGTGAAACAGAAGATTTTGTCAATTTGTTTTAGATCATAAAAATATATATATGATGGTGTCTGATTCGTTTAAGCTTAACTTCAAGGATCAAAAATGTCTGGATGTCTAGGTTTAAATCCAATGAGAAATAAAAATTCTCTTATAGTCACAGAGGTTCAAATGCGGTGATTTGGGGATACTCGTAAAACAAGTGGTCGTCCTGAAATTAGTCGACTCGCATAACGGGTTTGATATTTAGGTTAACCAAAAAAAAAGTACCCAACAAATTTTGTCCTTGTGATTTGTCGAAAATAATATTTTTGGTTTTTTCAGTTTCAAAATTACATATTAATCATCGTGATTCGCTAAAACGTCTGGATTTTGGCCTCTCCTTTTAATAGTTATTTAATAACTCCATTAAATAAAAATCATTTTTGTCTTTTTATCAAATTTTTTTTGTCTTTCTTTACCGAGTCAAAAACCACAAGGATCAAATTCATAAAATCGAGTTTGATTGAGTAAAAGACGAAGATTCCATTTATCTAATAAAAAAAAGTTAACAGCCGTTAAAAAAAGTGACAAAATCCAGATATCTTTATAAACCATGATGGTCATCTTATAACTTCGAGACTGCTAACACTGATCAGTATTATTTTCGACAAATGACAAGAACCAAATTAATTGTAAGATTTTGTAATTTTTATTTGATTTAAATATGTATTGTAATTAAAATATAAAATTGCATTAAAAAATTGCAAGTGGACCCTACCAGTGGGTCCAATTGAATATTTCTTAAATTCATGAACAACAACTTCCCATTCTTTGAGATATATGATTGATTTTTATGATCACAAATCACGTAGTCATGCAAGGCCCAGCAATTTTTAAACATTAAACTCTAAGGGTGCGTTTGGTTTGCAGGAATGTTTCTGAGGGATTTGGATTCCTGGAAAGATTTGGATTTCATGGGATTTGGATTGGATTGGATTTGAAATCCATTCCTCTGTTTGGTTTGTATGATTTGGATTTAGAATTTTTTTTTGTAATTATTTCTGGATACCTTTACACGCCCCTGTTTATACTATAATGCATGACAGGAAATTAGGGCAGAACCCTTGTGCATTTTCTGTTCAACAATAGGGCAGAACAGTAGTTGGTCCTGGATTGGTTTTGTATTATCAATGCATTATCAAATTAAAACCCCAAAATGCAGACCAGAATCGAGCATTTCTAATGCTATAGAAAAGGGGTTAATCGATTACCTGCTGAGTGATGGGAGACGCCGGCAAACAGCAAGGAAGACAGCACCGGCGAGGAGGCAAACCTAGGGCACAGCTTCGCAAGGGACACGACGGGAAGGAAGCGGGAGGTGTGGGTGAAGCAATCGATGGGAGGGAAGCGATGGGTGAAGCAATCGATGGGAGAAGATGGAGACGAGAAGATGGAGAAGATGAAATCCCACGGGGATGGGATTTTAAAATCCCATGTATTTTCAAAGGATTTTGAAATCCATGGTTCACGGGATTTTAAATGAATCCTTGGATTTGATATCCTACCATTCCCACAAACCAAACACAGGATTGGAATGGATTTCAAATCCAAATCCCCCCAAATCCATTCCAATCCCGCAAACCAAACGCACCCTAATTGTATTGTATATAAATTTCTATAAGGGATCATTTACTAAGCATTTATGATTTATCCGGATAAGCACTTATCAAGTCACATTACCTTACTGGATGAA